GACCTTGGCGCCCGGCCCGTGTGGTCTGTAGCGCTGGCCAGGCCCGTCTGACAGGCCTTCCGCCTACCCCTCCCATCCCTTGCCTTGAGCCCCCCAACATCCTGCCTTGATTCCTGCACCCATCAGACCCTGCCCTGAGCCCCCCCACCTCCCAGCCCCCTTCCCTGACTCCTGCACCCTCCACCCCTTGCCCTGAGCCCCCCACCCCCACCCCTGAACCTAAGTGACATCAGGTAAATCCTCCAATATAAAAAAAGTGAAACCCATTGGAACTGCCTGCGGATTTTCTGCTCCACCTTTGCTCCCTTAACCATGGAAATTCTTGTTCTTTGTGAGCTACAGCGTGAAGTCCCGGATTCTGCCACCTCTGGACTTTGATCATGACTTTGTGACTGTCCCTGTTTGGGAGAGAACAGGGGGAGGTTGACATCAGGTAAATCCTCCAATATAAAAAAAGTGAAACCCATTGGAACTGCCTGCGGATTTTCTGCTCCACCTTTGCTCCCTTAACCATGGAAATTCTTGTTCTTTGTGAGCTACAGCGTGAAGTCCCGGATTCTGCCACCTCTGGACTTTGATCATGACTTTGTGACTGTCCCTGTTTGGGAGAGAACAGGGGGAGGTCGCAGGGGGAGGGGCCTGCAAAGTGAAGCGGGGGAGGGCCCTGGCGGATCCTGGAAATTGGGCGGACAGGTATCGATCAGGGCTCCCGGTAAGCTGTGCATCTGGGCAGCCACCCAGCAGAGATTCAAATGGCGCCCAGTGGCAGAAACTCCACAGCCGGCAGCATGTGTTGCCTTGGGTGGTGCACATCCACACCTGCCTCAGCGCACAGAACAAAATGTATTCCACTCATGGATGGGGAAAAAAATAGAGGGAACATTTTTATTGACAACTGAGCAGGTGGCGATGCCACAGCTGCAGATGACAACGGCAGAGTCATTGAGGCAAGTCACAGCACTGCTCTGTGCCTCAGTTTCCCCCTCTGTAAACGTGGAGATACTGATACAGCCCTGCCTTGTAAAGCACTTGGAGGCTTCCCTCTGCTAAGAGCTCGGGATTCTCATTATCTCCCCCCACTTCTGCGTCCCAGACAATAATCTGCTGTTTCTTCATGGGAGAATACGAAATAAGGGATGGATATTTCTTCCTCCCCAGCCCCTCTTACCCAAATCCTTTGCTGGTCCCCGTTAGATTCCAAAGGGAGAAAACAGGAGGTTGGGTGTTGGGGCTGCCACAAATTCTTTGCTAAGGAGAGAGAAGAAAAAAGTTTCAGGGAGATGTTTCTATCGCGAGGCCGAGCCCTGGAAGGCAGCGACCTGAGAAACACAAAATGCATTTTGCTTTAGCT